GGGAATCGACCTATATACGAAGGGGGGTTATAGACAAGTATATATATATATATATATATATATATATATATATATATATATATCTTGATAAAATCACACGGGAAAATGGAAACAACGGAGTACCTTAGCTTTCGCTTTATAAAAAATCCTTTCATTCCTCTGTAACCAGACAAGTTCCTACACTTAAGAATATTTTGACTCTGCCCTATCGTGATGAATTTGTCCCTTTAGTTCGGTCCCTCAAGCTTCTAAATATTAATGTTGTTTTCAAGTATGACTCAACCATTACCAATATGTTAATAAGGAATAGCCCAAGTTTGAATGTAAATGGAAGTGTTTATTGTATTCCATGTAGCCAATGTAATTGTAATTATGTAGGTCAGACAGGAAAAACACTGCAGCTCAGAATCAAACAACATAAGTATAATATCAGAACTGCATCTGAAAGCAGTGCCTTGTTCGTTCATGTTAGGAATAATAATCACCCCATTGCTTGGGAAAAAAGCTTAGAAGTATTCAAATCATCTTGTGTCACAGAAAGACTTCTGGTTGAAGCTAGTTTGATTAAGGAATTAAAATCAATAAACCTTAGTGATGGTCAGTTCAAAACTGATAATATGTTACATAAATTTATTTGTCAGTGGCCCAAGGTTAAAACTGCTTTGAAAACCTTTGATCTTGATGTATGACAGTTATTTTGTGGGTCCCTTTTTTCTGACCTGACCTGTCTAGTCACGTCACCACCCTTCTCTTAAGCTCCTCTACGGTTGTGTTGGTGTGGGATTAGTGGATGTCATCATTATGACCTGACCTCATGTTTTTAGGTCACCCTGTATATTTAAGCCTCTCTCTGTCCATGTAATCTAGTTGCCTCTGAAGATGTCTTGAATAAAGACGAAAGCTAAGGTACTCCGTTGTTTCCATTTTCCCGTGTGATTTTATCAAGATTTATCTTATCCACGTTTTCATTGTGGATTTACATGAAATATATATATATATATATATATATATATATATATATATATATATATATATATATATATATATATATATATATATATATATATATATATATATATATATATATATATATATATATATATATATATATATATATATATATATATATATATATATATATATATATATATATATATATATATACCCCGTCTTACGACTGCTTCGACTTACGACCGCCGCAGTTGTGACCATTTTTTTTTTCAATTCAAATGACACGCATTTTCTATACCGAAACGTTTCCAGTTAATGTAGTCTCCATGTATAATTAGAAAATTATGGGGGCCCCATGTGCATTCAGCTGACTACATTAAAGGTAAGTGCTCAGTCACACTGTATCCATTCCTCATTATTTATTACTTTTACTGTACTGTATTTCATTGTAGATTTTTTGTTAATTTTTTTTATTAATTTTTTTTTATCTATGTCGGATTTACGACCTGGATTTGGGTCCCTAACCCCGTCGTAAGTCGGGGTCTAGCTGTGTGTGTGTGTGTATATATATATATATATATATATATATATATATATATATATATATATATATATATATATATATATATATATATATATATATATATATATATATATATATATATATATATATATATATACTTTAATAATTGTATTTAAGTACTGTATATTGAGCATATTATTCAAACTGTGTGTAATGATGTATCAGCAGTTGTTATATGTGAAATGTATACCCATCGTGCCAACGATGGGTATATATATATGTAACCGGTCGGAATTTCCTGGACTTTAATTTCTCACTTGACTTGGGGTTTATTAAAAATTAATAGATGGTAATGGCAGTGGAAGCGCCCCTTTAAGAAAAATCCCGAACCAGCACAAGAACACTTAAATCTACTAAACAAAATGAATTGTCCGTGACCCGTGGAAGGATAGCGTCTGTGACTGGGATGAATGAGACACAATGTAAAATTTAGACACTTATATTCCCTCCCACACTACAAACACAATCAAATAATGGTACACCAATATGCGCACCTCTTAACTTGAACTTAAAACACTACTCTGGGGAATAAAAGTTATACATGATATAGAAATTATTAGAAACACACAATAAATTTGAAGTATTAAGAAATGTTGCTTGCACACATGAAACAGGCCTTAAGGGCTTTCACAAAATAATATCAGTCACTTAGGAAATGGTATTAAAAAATAAGAAATTAACTACTCTACAATGAATAGGCCTTAAGGGCTTTCAACAAAATAATATCAGTCACTGAGGAAATGGTAATAAAAAATAAGAAATTAAATACTCTACAATGAATAGGCCTTAGGGCTTTCAACAAAATCATATCACCCCAACAGATGCACACTTCCTAACCTAACTTAACCACTACTCTGGGGAACAAGGTTATACCTGAGATCAGAATTATGAAGAACAATTAGATGCATTAAAAGAATCAAATCACAGTATCACTCTGGTTCCACTTAATGGCACAAACATTAAAAAACAATACTATCAAAATTATTTAGGAACCATTAAACTACACACGTCAAGACAATATCAGTCTGAGGAATGGTGTTAACTACACCCGTAATAAGGGAGGGAAAATGTTCCTCTAGGTATCTCCTAGAGACCTAGACTCACGGTCTCAGTGTGTGACCATTAGTTTACTCAGATAGCCTCAGTGTACTCCCAGTGCGTCCATAAAGCGGAAGGGAGTGAGCCAATCAGACCTTGTACAGTTGAGAGAAACTTTAGCTTCCCGTTAGCAAGAGGGTTTCACTAAGCTGCTCGGGACATGTGGTGTTGTGCACCGGAGTGGTAAGAACTGATCACCCACTGCTGATGCTGGTCCCGTCGTTTTAGTTGTCGGGAGCACTCGTTCACTCAAGAGATCCTTTGCTACCCCGCTAAACAGTGACAGGCCTACACTGATCGGTCCAATGGCGACAATCGCCACCCTCAATCATCAACGGCAGTCTCAAACGGCAGTCAATCTCTCGCAGTCAAACTCCGGTCAACTCCGGTCAAGTGGGTTCTGGCGGAAACCCTGAAATGAACTCACTGTTAGCTCTAGTTTACTTTACCACTGCCCTATCTAACCCTGTCTGAGATCGAATGAGACTTACTTGTTATACTGCAATAGCGCAGCACAGGTGACTAGGCCACGTGACTATTTCTGTGACGGACGCGCAGGGACGTCTTGTATGTCTGAATGCTTCTCCGTGACTCAGGGAGGGCCCGCGTCGCGTCTCTCAAGGCGTTAGCTTAGGCCTACGTGACATATTTTCCGCCTAACTAAATAACTCCTTGGGACACCCGTAACATTATTCAGACTGATAAGCGATCTATAATAATTTCAAATTCAATAATAGTCCCTTACTTCATGAATCGCATCATTATTAATTCGGTAAATTACATTTAATATCATATAGGCCTAGTTCTGCAATCTCTCGCTATGAGCAGGCAGCGCTCTCTCCCCTCAGATGACCTTGAACGCTCAGTATCGCTAATGGCGGGGCATTTGAAATTAATCTGAAATTTCTGAATATATATATATATATATATATATATATATATATATATATATATATATATATATATATATATATATATATATATATATATATATATATATATATATATATATATATATATATAAATTATATATATATATATATATATAGATAAGTCATGCGCGGGTTAACGTCCTAGATACGTTCTTGGAAAAGGTGATGTTAACCGAAATGTACGTTGTCCGAAATTACATAAACCTTATGGGATTTATTCTAATTTGCTCCAGGCACCCAACCCGAAGTTTCCCATTTTACGACCATTTAGACCCACTAAACATATATATATGATGTTATGGTAAATATCATAAACACACATAGGCATGGCTAGGTATATTACAAAGTGATGAAAAGGATAATGTAAAGTGGGTAGTCCACAAAACATGTAGCTATGTCTCTCTTTATTTGGGTGCCCCGTCAAAGAAGTCCGTTTTCTCTCACTTCAGGAAGCCTTAGTTGTCCATTTTCTCTTAATCTTAGAGTGCATTGCATTAGAGACTTAATATTCCTTAGTAATGACACAGAATTTGATATTGCATCTGGGGTTGCAATTGTTGAGGCAACTTAGATATGTCTGATTACAGTTGGAATATTCAAGATCCATTGTGAGTGATGTTTAAAGCTTCAACTGTCTTTATGGTTGGTAAAACTTGTCAAGTCTGTCAGTCTGAGTGGCATGTGTGAGTCCTTGTGTTTGTACAACCGCTAAATATATAAATATATAATGTTATGGTAATTATCAGAAACACACATAGGCATGGCTAGGTTTGTTACAAAGTGATGAAAATTATACGATCAATACTGTAAAGTGGGTAGTCCACAAAACATGTAGCCATGTCTCCTTATTTGAGTGCCCCGTCATAGGAGACCGTTTTCTCTCACTTCAGGACGCATGAGTCGTCCATTTTCTCTTAATCTTAGAGTGCAGTGCACCAGAGACTTCGTTATTCCTTAGTAATAACACAGAATTTGAAATTGCAACCCAAATTGCAACTGGCGTTGCAATTGTTGAGGCAACTAGATATGTCAGATTACAGCAAATGTGTTATTATCAATTTGTAGGTGAAAGATTTTATCCTTAATAGACGTAGGTTAACATTACACCTGGAGGCAAATGCCTAAGGAAGGAAGGATATTCCTTTAACACATAATATCTGGCCAGTATGGGGAGGATCATCGTGTCTCCGTCAGGGGGTCGTGGAGTGGTGGTCCAGCAGGAGTCACCGATGTTTTTTTTTGGGGGGGGAGGGGGGAGGGCATGGACGTATATGCGATCGGACGTTGTTCGGTTGGACGTTAACCGGCGCATGACTGTATATATATTGACCCACATTAATATTTTGCCGACTTCCCTTTCCTCTTCAAACACTCCTCCAAATGGGCAGGAACTGAGTCAGCGAGGTTCTGAAGCCTAGTGGGGTCTACATTTGTCCATATTATCACAAATGGCTGCCTTGACCTTAGGTAGAGAAGAAGTGTCCAAGTTACGTAATTTTTGTTTCATAGTAACCCATAAGTTATCAGTTGAGTTTAGGTCCGGTGAATTGCCCAGCCAATCATTAAAACACTCCACTTGACTGTCCATAAGCCAATAAATGATGTATTTAGCAGTATGGCCCAGCCAATCATTAAAACACTCCACTTGACTGTCCTTAAGCCAATAAATGATGTATTTAGCAGTGTCTCCCAGCCAATCATTAAAACACTCCACTTGACTGTCCTTAAGCCAATAAATGATGTATTTAGCAGTGTGGCCCAGCCAATCATTAAAACACTCCACTTGACTATCCTTAAGGCAATAAATGATGTATTTAGGAGTGTGGCCCAGCCAATCATTAAAACACTCCACTTGACTGTCCTTAAGCCAATAAATGATGTATTTAGCAGTGTGGCCCAGCCAATCATTAAAACACTCCACTTGACTGTCCTTAAGCCAATAAATGATGTATTTAGCAGTGTGGCCCAGCCAATCATTAGAACACTCCACTTGACTGTCCTTAAGCCAATAAATGATGTATTTAGCAGCGTCTCCCAGCCAATCATTAAAACACTCCACTTGACTGTCCTTAAGCCAATAAATGATGTATTTAGCAGTGTCTCCCAGCCAATCATTAAAACACTCCACTTGACTGTCCTTAAGCCAATAAATGATGTATTTAGCAGTGTGGCCCAGCCAATCATTAAAACACTCCACTTGACTATCCTTAAGGCAATAAATGATGTATTTAGGAGTGTGGCCCAGCCAATCATTAGAACACTCCACTTGACTGTCCTTAGGCCAATAAATGATGTATTTACCAGTGTGGTCCAGCCAATCATTAAAACACTCCACTTGACTGTCCTTAAGCCAATAAATGATGTATTTAGCAGTGTGGCCCAGCCAAACATTAAAACACTCCACTTGACTGTCCATCCATGGCACG